CCAATTTCTAAGACCGATTTCTACATTGATGAACATAATTCAGTGTTATTAGTTGTTGTATACATTTTGTTTTCCCTTCAGGGAATATGACTATTAAAGTTACCGATTTCACTAATCATCTCTATGTTTGTAAACTGTAAACGAAGTGTAAATGAATATGTACCCTCACTTCACCATAGAACACGTAACTACATATTATTAAGTACATCATAATGAATTATTGTTTTAATTGCTACATTAAATGATGTAATTAGTTGTTCTTAAAACTGTTAACTATTATCCAACCTTTCTACTTACAGCCAGTAATTGAGAAATTCCGAGGCGGGCCACCGCTATAGTCGCGTCGGCGGTGGCGGGCGGGCGGCGGGTGCTGAAAAACAATTTCACGCCAAATCTTAGCTTGTGTTTTTCTATTTCCCTTTTTATTTATCTTTTCGTCTTTTCTTTTCTCGAGAATCAATTTCACGGATGAGTGTCGCGATGATCTCAGTTCAAAAAGCGCGAGGGCTGGCAGTGGAGCTGTGCACGTGTGCAGGCGAGACCATTTTCCGGACAGTGGCCACGTCAGGCGGGCTGGTCGCTGTAGCCTGCGCTCCGGATGCCCGCAGTCGCGCGCCACTCATTACTCGGGTGATGGAAGAACGCGTCCCGATAATAAGCTTTCTGCTTGCTGGCTCCTTGTGATTGAATGGGCGATGCGTGTGTTATCTGCGTATGCGGCTCGTGATATATCTGACCCAATTTCTTTTGAGTTACTCCGTAAACTACTATAGCTTAAACACGTATCGACTGCCTATTATATTTTAATAGAAAACGTCTGGCTATTTGTAAAAATTGAGTGTTTTGTACTCGTCGTAACGTGTCGTAGAGTTAAGTAGAATAGCAGTGATTGTTTTGGCGATCTCCCAGATGGCATCGCGCATTTTGCTGACGTGCTACAAGATGGCCTCTTTATTCGTTACAATGAATTTAAATATTAAGTTAGTTCGTATTATTGTACATCTTACGTGGATATTGGATGCCACGTGAAAAGCACGACTAAATGTTCTGTCAAAAACTGCGCGGTACAAAGATCGTAGCGGGCCAGTTGAAGACGAACGAATGGCTCAAAATTGTCGGGCCCAGGCGCCAGAGCTCCCTCGGAATTGACAATTTTACGGGCGGTTTATTTCCGGACACCGAACTTCCTTGGTCAGACCGTCACCCCCTCCACCCCGCGGCGCCCACAACCCCTTCGCTTACCACTGCGACTTCGTTCAGATATTTTCTTAACTGTAAGGAATACAAATTGGCACTTCTTTGTTCACATAATACATTTAACCCACGCTACAATAATGATAGGTACCTAGTGTATTTTTGACTATATAATATAATAAAAATAATTTCATGCTTCTTTCTTTATATAATAAGAATTAAATTATTCTGGTATTTTTTCGTGCTGGCATTTCCGCACGGGCGGATCCATTTGTTTCATAACTGTAGCTAAGATACACTCAACGTTGAACATAAAATTTACATTGTATGTAAGTGTCTTAAGCGAAAGCTTCCCACTTAAAAGCTCTACAAATGCACCGAAAGCTCTTTCGCGCACTAATCCCAAACCTTTTAGCTGCAATCAAAAGCCTGAGCGCTGGCGCGGGTGGGCAGCGGTGCGCGGGCGGAAAGACGACGTGATGCTTGTGGAAGCGCCTAGGAATTTAATTTACATTTTTAATTAAGTTAAATTTTGTTCGGAAAGCTTTCACGGAATAGGAGTTTTCTTGATTAGAGTTCAGCTCTGGCTGAAGTTTGAGATTGATTAGTGGAGCTTTAATTGCTCTCTGCCGGTGAATAATGAATTCGATCAGTGTGGAGTCAGAAGGGAGTGTCTAACAGATTACTTTGACGTTAATGGATCAAATGGTTCCCCTTTCAGTAAATGTAACTAAATAATTAAGAAATAATAAAGTATTCAATTTTTTTTTAATAGCCTACACACAAATTCGCACTCAGAACGGTGACAATTATAGAAGGAATGTCCATAGTGAGCCACGAGTCGGTTGGACGAAGCTGCCGCGTAATTGATGGTCCGGTGAATTTTAACGTAATGCTGCTTAATTGATCGCGGTGTTAACGCAATCATAACGGAACGCGGATACTCGCGGTGGTCGCCAGCACTACTCACCCCGCCTGTAATGCCCAAATGGGTTTCCGCCACACGCCCCAAATTACTGGAAATGCCTCTAATGGATTTCTCTTCTCGCGAGTTAGTTTTAATGCGTTGGGATTGGTTACATAACGTGTTGCCGACGAGGGTTGCTTATTATTGGTAATTATTTACGGTTTTTAACCTTAATGCATTAACATGACTAAAAACCGATTCTCTGTTATAATAACGAATAAAATTAACATACGAAGGTATTAACTGTTTCTTTTTCTCGTTATAAAAGGTCCTAATGGGTGCCTGTAAATTGGACCGGCACAAAGAGTCGTGCTGTCGCTGACATAAAGGGAATAAATAAGAGACTTCTGCGAAGCACTCTCACAGAGAACAAGTCGAGAGCCCGTGACGTACGATTTGACGTAGAATATTTTATCCCGGGCTACGACGCCGCCATCCATTCCACTTATCCCGGCACTCTGTTGAATTTTTGACACGCCAACGGAAGAGCTGCCCTTTTCTGTGGCTGGTTTAGTGTGACAATGCCCTTTAAAATCAAATTATATGGAGGGGAACGACAATTACTTACTTCTCTGTCGTCAACCCCTGACTTTATGCGCTCACACGCTGTGAGTGATTGCTTTTGAGCTAAGACGACGTAACTTATAGTCACGTAACTTGTTCTTTACATTTCGCTACAGTGAAAAGGAATCAGAGATAAAATTCTGTAAGATTTTATGTCTGATTTCTATTATCGTTTGAATTGGATTTAGATGATGCTTGGACCTCATTGAAATTCTATTGTGCCGCATTAAAGCTTTGTTCGGGATGAGGCGTCAAGAGAGGAGCATCGAGTGTGGCGCAGCTGGCCGCCCCCACTTGCCAATCGGACCGAATCCGGCGCAAGCAATCCATATTAGATTTGCCCGCTCTCTCATATCCATTCTGAGATGTTCATATTTTATTGGGGCCAATAAAACGGATTCATGAATATGAGAAATGCATAACGAATACCGTATTTATGGATGGAGGCGCGCTCGCTTCGCCGCGGATATGTCGCGGGTAATTTGATAGCCGCCTTTGTAACAGGTGCTGATGGGAATTTCGATGCGGTTATAAATTTTTTTTTCATTCCGTTACAGCTTGATAGCATATTCTGTTTTTATTTTTATGTATTTTTATTGTTTGCGACGAATGGTACTATAATGTTTTATGAATCCAATAGCTTAGATTTATTATAGCACCTATACTTATTACAAATCTACAGTGTATTTAGTCGTAAAGAAGTTACATCCTAAGTTCGGAAAATGGTATTACGTATATTTGATTAAAAAGTGTAGTACTCAGTGACATTATAGGACTTATTTTAATGATTTTGTCCGCTGGCGTTTCAAATATGATAAAACTTTATAAAAGTAGTAAGAAAATAGTCAGCAGTCCATTAGAAGCGTCTATTCATATAATGAATAGAAGGCAACGCTGCGCCGGCGCCGGCGGCTCGCGATAAATCGCCGCGAAATGGCCCCGAGATGGATTGTTATATCGCTACGCCGCGGATAATAAATACACTGCTTCCGATCTCAGTTCGTTTAGTATATTTACGAGTTGACGCTTCTTCGGTGGTCGTTTACACTGCACCACAAAAATATGTACCAGGTTTAATGATATTCGTAGCATCGCAGCTTAGTTTTAATCTTAATTGTTCCTATTCACTGTTTCTAAATTAAATTTAACGTATTAACTTGCACTAAACTACAAAACAAAGTTATTTTGTTGGGAGACTAAGCTCAATGCAAATTATTCGACTATTTGTTTCAGTAAGAATTTCATAAGTTGCAATCTAAAATTTAATAAACCAACTGTTTTTTCTTCACCACTACGACACAAGAGCAAAGTACTGGGAGTTATTAGTGTCTCTATCTCGAGTTTCAATTTACAGCTTTGCATGGACATATCAACCTTCAAGCAAAAGCCGTCTCACAGTGCGTTTGTTATCGCACTGTGATCTGAACTAAACTTTTGCATTTCAAGAATAAGGCATCAAGTCGTTTGTGTGCTACATGCTATAATAATATAAAGGAAAGAAAACCGTATGTGGGTGACTTTAGGTTGTAGTTTGTTCAGTGTTGTAGGTCAGATAGCTGCCGTTTGACGGCAGTTTGTCGGAGTAATAAGAGTGGACGTAAGGAGAGGATATCGTTTATTCTAATGAGGTTTTGTAGGAAGCGTGTGCTCGTGTCCGCTCTTAGCATCCCGATCTCATATTGTCTGCTAGCAAGGATTCTCTGAAAATAAATTGCCTTGCTTAGATCAAGATGAAATATAGGATTTGTACTCTATTATTAAAATTTTCTCTCTATTTGCTTGAATACAAAAGAATTATAATATGCATGCATACATACACGCAGGCCTTTGAGGTATGCAGAGGCTATTGATTGCCACTTTGCACAATCCTGGCCAACCTCTTTTGCTTCATTTAGATTTACCTTTTTCACACTCTATAAAATTTTTGTTCCTAAATTTGCCAGACAACCACACCAATTGTCCGGTCTCAAATTAGGGAATTACCTGTACTATGAGTACCAGAGCAACGGAATTCACTTCGGAGTACTACTTTGAACACATAACCAGTTTAGAAACGTTGCTTTGTTGGAAAAAGTAAATACACGCGATTTAAATCCGGAAAAATAGTTTAGAAAACTTAATTTTCTAAATTGATCTTACCTAGAATCGACCGCGAGACCTCCTCATCCCGCGCGCATAGTAGAAACCGTTGGGTCACCGAGGTCGTCAAATAAACATTCTCTATTTGATTTGAGAACGAAAGTAATAAACTAATGATGTATTCCTATTGTTATAGACTGGTCGTGTAATGTGCTAGCGACGGTCACACCATGATTCGAGATCCACCCGCCATGCATAAGCCCGACACTGGGAATAGTGAGTATATTTTATTTTGGTCTGTATTGTAGAGGTATAATCAGTTTTAGGAAATATGCAAATTATTCATCTGTACTTTCCCATATTTCACAGATCGTATAGCTTTGATTGTTTTATGTGATCATTGTTGCGGATTTACATAGTTTCTAATATTGTACTTAGAAATTATATTTAAATTATTAAATCAAACAACGAATTACAATAAAACATAAGAACTAGCGACATTTTCGTTTTGCTGACGTAAATTTTTCATAATATTAGGACAAACAGGTCACAAATAAAACGTGGGAAGGGTTGTGCCATAAACCTCCCAACAGCGTCCGTCGCGATATTAAAAAGGGGACGAACGATATTGCAATATCACATTTATGCGAAATGTCCGACACCCAGATCGTATTGATAAAAATAAGCTATTTTTTTATTGTGCCCCGCAACCTCGTCTCAAGGAGCCACGTTTCTACTTGTGGGCTGATTGAAGTTTTAAGCTCGCAATCTAGTTTCGGTATACTCGAAAAGCAGCTGTTTTCTTTCTGCTATTCTATACGTACAATATGATACGATTTACTGAACATTATTTTTCAAATATCACAATTCAGATCTAGAATGCAATTGCACGATCAAGCAAAAAATCTCTTTAAACGCACCCATGAAATAGTCTGCTGCAAGTTCATTCCAGAATATTGTCGCAAGCGGTGAATGCACAAGCAAGGGCGGAAAATTGAGGGTGGTGTGGATGCGATGCGGCAACGGCACGGTGGCGTGACGGGCGGCGGCGGCGCGAGCGTTGGCAAGCGGTGTGGCGCGGCGGTGGCGCAGCGCCCGCGTTCGCGGCTCTCTGGACGGCCCTGATAAAATTTATGGCCACTTCCCCTTTAAAACAATATTGAGGGCTCAGTTGGGATTTATGTCTCGCCGCTGCTGCAGCGACTCAATTTATTCTTCAATTTTTCATACAATAACTCACACACGTATTACGAGTGATGGATGAAAAGGACTAACTTTCGGGCTTTAATAAGAGCCTCCAGATGCGAATCTCCAAATTGGCTGAAGTTTATTGCCCACTTATGTCAGGCTTAAGTTTCGCCCGGAGCCTTTCTTTGAGAAAATAATTTATGACGTAGATTGTCTCGACTTCGTACAAGTTTGATCGGCGATTGGGGGTACGATGTATCCCCCCATACATGAAGTAAACATTTCATTGGCGTGTTGGTACTTTTTTATCATTTCTTTTCTTAACACCCTACGTACTCATTGTTTAATAACCATCTAGTACCTAGCAATATGCTTACATTTGTGGAAAATGAAATACGTTAGTTAAATTTATTTACCGTTCGTAATACAAATAACGAAAACACCAAAGGAAATAATTACAGATGATAGATGTCAAAAATTAATGGATCATGCGCTACTTAAAGACTGTTGGTAAAGTTGCTTTTAAAAAAACATTTCTCGTTTCAAATAATTAATTGGTTCAAATTCAAATATTAATTAATAACGGCTTCTTTTTTCGCCAATGAAAAGCAATTAAGATATGGTTTTCTGCCATCAAATAATTGAAATTTTAATTGCTTTAACAGAAAACTCTTTCCTTAGAAATCGTTTACCACTGCCATTAGGCTTAATTCAAAAATTAATTTAAACTTTCACAAGCTTGAGTCGGGAGGCGAGCTCCGACGTAAAGGCTATATCAATTTCATAATTTTAATTAAAAAAAACTAACTTCTGTGATGACAAAGTCGCGTACTTTTTTAATAACGGAAATGTTAACGACGAGGGATTTAGGTAGGGTGCGGGGATGCGGCCAGGTTGTTCTTATTTCTATACGAATATATTCGGTTAGTCTTTGTTAACTACTAGACTGATTATGTTTTACCGAACTCGTGCCACTTCCGCACTTACAATTTGGCTAATCTTTTTCATTTCCACATTTTTGGCGTTTAATGTGAACTAGGTGATGTACATACATAGTTCAGTGAAAAGTTTCTGAACCTTCGATCTGACAGATTCGAACCTGGCGTCTGTGCCGAACCAGGGAGAAACAGTTAATTTTGCTCGGGTCGAAAGGCAGGGATACTGGCTTTATTTTAGAATTTATTTTTTTACAAATGAAATTAAAGCCATTTGAGAAATGTATATCGTATAGTGTACGTGTCCTATTTAATTCAGTTAATATAAAAAAAATCATTGGTATATGTAAAGCACTTATTGAATACAGCAGTTTTCTTGTACAATTTCGAGGTAAGTCTGTGTTTTTTATTCTATCGTGAAAACTTTTAGTAATCGTGTTTTCACACCATATAGTAATCACAGGACATCCTCAATTTTACTATATTTTTTTTCACTTTCACTGTTATGCAGACCAGAGACTATCAACCAAAGCCATTTGAGGTAGCACAGACTCTTAAATAACGTAATTATCCAGACTAGGCAATGCATAAAAGTAGAAAACAATTATATTGTTTGGTTCACGTATCCTGCTCGTTAATTTTTTAATGCGCTTGTCATTAATGCAAAACCCGCATTTGGATAAATCTAATTACCGCCCGCATAATGGATATCGCGACGGCGCAATCAGCTCCATTGTTTAATGAGTGACCCGCCACTAAAACTAAATAAACTCGTGAGCATTTAGAACAGCTGCAACCACAATCATTATACAAATCAATTAGTACCGCAGTTTAGATTACTTACTGCGCACGACATTTAGTTTTCCTAATGAATTTAAACACGCGGTCAAATATTTCCTAATTATTTCTTTGACTCGAAAACCCAGCTAAGTTTTGAAATTATTTACATACATGTAATGTAAACTTAGAAGTAAATGTTACAAATTATAAATTCCATAATTATGGCCTCTTGTTGAACAAAATCACTTAAGTAGAGATATTTATTTGCAGTGCTAAGTAATTGGCAAGAACTGACGGCAAATCTTGATTGAAAATAGCGTGAAGTCGTAACGAAATAACAGCGATGGAATCATGCAAACAACATGATGGATAGCGATGTAGGCTCGTACGGGATGCCAGGTTAATTGCAAAACGCAATGAACGATTGTAAATTGCACGGAATGATTGCGGGGCGGTCGTGGTGCGGGTTCATTACAATAACCTGGCATTTAATTGAATCCAAGGAATGTTGCCTACTGCGAGATACGCATCGACCTATGGCTGTATAATGACACAAATTTATATTATTATATATTATCTTTCTTATTGTTGGCCTGTTTTCTATTTATTTATGAAAGATAATGTTTAAATAAGTAAATTGTTAGTTATATGCTTTTTTGACAATTATTAAAGCGACATCTCTAGTCAGGTGCCGTAAAAGTACCTGGCTGAGTGAAGAAATAGAAAAATTTTTACACATGGCGCTACAGCAAAAAAGTGGTTAAAAACCAAAAACAAAGATTTGCAACAAGCACAGAAAAATTCGTAAGGTCTGTCGGTTCGTTCCGTGGCTTAGTGGGCTTTGCTGGGAAACGCTGGTTCGAATCCAGCCGGATGGAAGAAGTTTTTCTTAGTGTTCAATCTTTGTATTAATTTTAAATGCTATTAATTATTACATTTATCATAACTATTACATATACGTAATTCATTTTATTGGCTTGAAGGTGTTTTTTTAAATTTTATATCCTGTGTTAAAGTTGTTAGTAGCAAGGTGTGGTGTGAAATCAACACGAGATTATACTCGCCCACCCCGCGAACTCTCCACACAAGCTCTCCCTTCTCGGAAATGGGTTTCGTCGTCAAGAAAGGATTTTCGAAACAAAAGGCCATTACAGATTTCAATTATATCCTATGTTTAGAAGTAATTTCGCTCTGAAATTAGAAAATTAATTTTATGTCGGCGTGGCCTAAGACAGCGGCGGAAGCACATAGCGGAAGATACCGCGTCGTTTGTGACAAAACAACTGTACCTATACTACAGTGTCTGCCATTGTCGCTCTTCTTACGACACAATAAATAACTTTTCATCCATTTCTTGATTTCTTTTTAATTTCAACGCCTTAATAGGTTGGCGGCGGCCGATCGGCTGTGTTAGCGAAATTATACTGCCGGGGCAGTTCGGTAGCCAAGTCTCTATCAAATTCTCGGCCCGCCCCGGTAATAAAACGAAAATAATACGTAGCGCCTTCACCCACCAACGGATATTTATGTACAGCCCACGTTATTAACTCCACTTTTATTGTTTTTTTATGTATATGACCGACCACACATAGTGCATATAGGTAAAAATAAGAAATACTGGGAAGTACTTGCAAAAACTAAGTGATTGTACAATAAAATAGGCAAGTATGTCGCTTATATAATCGCTATCAATTATATGAGACAAAGGTTTAGTAAAAACAGGCAATCGCATGCGATACCAGACAAGACTGAATCAATATAATCGATCCTACCATTAGAGTGAAGCATTCGCTCTGTAATTACCGCATTAACAACATGCACTGCCTGAAATGGACAAAGCACGCCGATAACCGCCAAGCACTCCGCTGCCGTCGCCTTCGTGCGTCAATCCACGGAAAAACACGAGTTCCTTCATCAGTCTGGGTAAAACCACTGCTTTTTATTGTAAAGAAAACTTAACGACGCCTGTGCATACGTTCCTAGAATATTAAGGCAAACCGCAATGAATTGAATAAACTTTATCGTTTAACGTGAACACATTGCGAGTCAACTTGACGTTCACTTGCAATTAAGAGAATATTTTTCTATTGTTGCACACTTAGAATGTTTGGTTTCTAGCCTTATTTTTTATAGTACTTATATTTTCTTTTTATGACACTAAGTGACAGGACGAACAAGTCGTGCGCGTGGCGGTAAGCGACAAGCCTGTCCATAGCAATTGCAGTGCCATTCAGAGCTTTATATCAAAAAGATTCGCCCTCAGACATAAGTTGACAAGTCCCTTGTCCCAGTAATTTCACCAGCACTCTTGTTTTTCAAAATCGGAACACAATAATGTGAGCATTCCTGCTTGGCGGCAGAAATAGGTAAGGTGGCAGCACTTCCTTGAACGAACTTTTTCACAAGGAGCTCTACGAATCCAAGAGTAGATTTGTATGATATGCTGCGTTAACATTATTTGATGAGGTTTTAAGAGAATTCAGCGTAGCAGCGACGGCGTAGCTCAGTGACGGGCAGGGTGTGTAGTTGGATCCCCGCGGCGCACTAATTGCGAATAGCGGCACCGAAGAGCCGTACGTCATCTTTATTATTTTATTATTAACGAGTCGTCATTAATATACTCCAATTAACTTTATTGTCTGGACGTCGGCTTCAATAAGCGAGATGTATCGGCAAGCGGGTGGCGCGGGCGGCGCGGCGCCCAGTGATCGATTGCGTTGAGTTATGTCCTCCTAGTTACCCCTTCAATTGGATCCTTGATTGGTTTGACGTACGCACTATTATTATGTGGACGGTGTGCCGATAAATTGGAACTGATTGTTTACTAAAGGAGTCCCATTAATTTATTACCCGCGATCGACTCGCGATGTCTATTTGAGTCGAGCAAATAAAAAAAAAGTTTTAATGTAATATAGTCTTCACGGTGAGAACGTAAACATCATCTTTTATCGGCTGTAGTTAACGCAGTTAATGAGTTTGCATGTGTTACATTGTGAGTGTTTTTTGTTGCATGAGAAAAATGCGTGTGCGCATCGTTAATGACGTCAGGATATAACGAACGAGTGCGTGTCATGCGGCGCGCCTCTGCTCGAATTAATTGACGTAATTACAGAGCAGAAAACAATCGGGGCCTAGCCTTAATACCTTAATAATTCCGTATTATGAACAATTACTTACAGATAGACTAGCTAAAGCAAAGATAATAGAACAAATTATTAGATTGCGAGATCTTAGCGAAAGTTTGTTGATTACGTTTCTGGGTACCAAACGCGTTGTTCAAAATGGTATTCTTCTCTTTTCTATCTTATCTTTATTAAACTTGCAAGTAGTCAGTTGTCGAATTGAATGAAACGACTCTTGCAGATCTGGTCAGACAGGCAAATTATTGAGTTCCTTGACTTGATTACATGTTTGTGTCGGCGTGAGAAATGTGTCTCGAATTCGAACTAACCGCCAGTAAACTTGTTTCGAACGAAAGTGAAATTACTCGGTAATTTGGACCAACTGAAAATTGTGACTTTATAGCTCTACCAATTTGACAATTTAGAATAATCGTTCTGCAAAAACGTAATTTGCATTCACTTTATTTAAATGACAAGCTGTAACCAATTTGTTTTACTTATTAAAATTATATTACCTATGTACAAAAATATGAACTATGAACACTAAAATAATCGATTTGATTGCCATTTATGAATTTTGTTTGTTATTAAATCCATTAAGGATTATTAAAAGAACATAATACAAAAATGAAAGACAATTTTAAATATGAATGAATACAAATTCAACAAGTTACTATCTTAATAACGAACGATATGCGGGTGATCCATCAATATGTATTATACTCCGCGATTTGTTTGTGTCTTCGTCCGTATTTTCAGTTAAAGAAATATTACAGGTCAGCAAGAAGATAACAAGTATACGTTGACTAGTGGCGTGGCCAGCAGCACAGCCGGGGCCCGCCTGTGCGCGCAATGCGGAAAAGTGATCACCGAGCGGTTTCTCCTCAAAGCCATGGAGAGGTTCTGGCATGAGGATTGCCTTAAGTGTGGATGCTGTGACTGCCGTCTCGGGGAGGTCGGCTCAAAGCTTTACTACAAAGCTGACCTTATGCTCTGCAAAAGAGACTACCTAAGGTAAATTTTCCCTACTGACCTACTACCATTATAATCACAGAGTAGCATTGGTATATAAATAAACATCTTCTGTAAGTTAAATTCTCTACCTCTTCTACAAGTATGGAACCAGAATAACTATGCAAATCCCAAAGCACCATCGTAAACATATCTGATTAAAGTCGTATTTCGCTTTAAGAGTATCTAAGGCGCTGTGCCCTCCGATATCAGTGTAACATTAAAATTAATGGTAATTGCACGCTTTTGCCGCTATTATATAATTGCATAAATATCCTGGCATGCGTTATAAGTGCTCTTGATATTTATAAGCGGTATATTACGTTTACAACCCTGTTATTTTTTAAACAGGTTATTTGGTGCCACCGGCAATTGTGTGGCGTGCAACAAAGTCATTCCCGCCTTCGAAATGGTTATGCGAGCCAAGAGTTTCGTTTACCACTTAGAATGCTTCGCCTGTCAACAGTGCAATCACAGGTAATTTCTACGAATATTTATGGCTTAATAAGTAATCCTCTTGTCCATTAACTGTCGACCGCTTCAATCCTTTAATGGAACGTAACTGATGGCCGGTAAGCCGGACATAATGAGTTGCTTCCACAATTTGCCTGCAATTGTACAGAATGCTTAGTGATAATTGTGACACCGGGAAACACGGGAAATTGATAAGTTCATAAATTGCAGGTTCTGCGTAGGAGACAGATTTTACCTATGCGACAACAAAATCCTGTGCGAGTACGACTATGAGGAGAGGTTGGTGTTTGCAAGCATGGCTGCCAATCCTAGCGGACTCGCGCACATCCGTCGACAGGTCAGCGGCTTACCGGTCGGTATATTTAGCGACCTAGTACTATTTGCATGGCTAGGCTGCAAAATCCATAATATTCACTTCTAATATTTCACTAATCGATTGACCCCCTTTTACTCCATATAGCTTTCATTAATATTTGGGCGGCGTAGCAGGTGTTACAGAAAGACTTTTCACAGAACGCGTGCAGTTCTGTCACGTAGAAAAAAACCTAATTATAGCTTGTTGGAAATACAGTGAGTCAATTCTCATCCTCCAAACTGCCGGTAACGTGGTTCTCACGCCACCGTCAACTGCTGACGTGGTCTAACGCCGTGTTATGTTGCGTTGTTGTTGGAACCACTGGTTATCAGGACTCTTGTGCTAAATTAAGTTTAAAGTCACAAATCTGTAGCAGAGGGTTGACCAACGTCTGTTAAAGAATACTTTTTGTATCTAATAAATACTTATCGACCTTCATTGTCGCTTATCATTATCAACAATAGCCAATCATTGACACCGGTACAATCAAGTGCTTGTTAGATTTAGTTTTGATTTCTAGATGGCCGTAATATATAATTTAAGGAAATGTCTCTTTTTGTCAAATATCACAAATAAAGGGCACGTGAAAAAGTTAGCTCGGTGGAATAAATAACTCCCACAAGGACACTGTTAGTGGGAGATTCTATCTCCACTTTATTATGTTTCTTTTGTGATCATTAATCTTTCTCGTACGAACGCTTGTCGGAATGCGAATGTGGGGGAATCTATTTCATTTTATGAGTCGTGCGAGTGGAGGAAACCCATTCAGCCGCACGACATTTCTAATCGACTTTTTGATTGCGCTCACGGTCTACTGTTGGGGTTGGCATGTGAATTGCGAGCATAGGAAATCGAACTTAATAATAACGCAAAGAAAAATGAATCACTTTTATGTCAAAAGGTACAGTGACAAAGAAACCAAAATATACAATACTCAAAAACTTGTGTTTTATACCTTAAAGTGGCTTAAATAGAATGAATAAGATATACCAAACTTTGATATCATTAACTGAATGTTTTGTTATAGTCACCCAGTGGTGGATATGTGAGTGGCAGTGGGTGCGGCGCTGGTGTAGCGGCCGGCGGAGCGCTGGCGGAGAAAGACGGCGGCGGGTGTGCGGGTGCAGATGATGCCTCCAGCGGCTACGGCAGCCCGCCCGACCCAGACGTATGCGACGCAGCGCGATGACCGACGATGCCGCGCCGACTTCTCGCCTCGGTAAACATGTAACTACATGCTAGATAATGCCAGAGAATATGTAGTTATTTGTTTTAAGGTCCTTAACTGACAGTCCTCTTTTCACGTCACAGGTGAAACCCCACTAATCGTTGGTGGGACGCTGGGCCTAGGGCAGAACCTCCCGCAACGGGATGCTGCTCCGGCGCGGGCGACCGTCTTTACATAGCGTGGCGAATGTTCGTTCGCCTCATACGACTAGCCATCACCCTACCGTGACTCATAGAAAATAACTGCTTTATTTTTGTATTGTTTATAGACTTTAAGACGCTAAAGTCTGCGAATTCTGTCGAAAAATCTCATAAGTGTATAAAAATGGAAGTTTTGAATTAGGGTGATGAAAAATGTGTGTATGATGCAAAATCGGCTTACTGCAAAATTGCATACAGATATTCCAAGGAATGTATTTTACAAGCAGCGCAGGAGAGTACATTAGGCTAGGATGCGGCCGTGGATGTGCAGCTGGCCACTTTACAAAATGTCCGGGATGAGACGCGATAGCGTTGTCAGAACACGATATTTCCATTATGTATACGATTTGAGCACTTGTTTACATGTTAAGATAGTGACGTCGCGTGGGTAGGACGCTGCTCTGGCTTGTACTATAACGTACCACGACTCGCGCTTTACCAATATAGTCACGACCTGTATCTTACGATAAATGTGCTGAATACATTTATATATGAATTCACAAACTTTTCAGTGTCATTCTAAAATTGTAATTGAATTTAACATTTTGTGCTACAGTGTTGTGTATACTTTTTTCATACATCGATTTAGATCCAGGCACTGTTTTATGATAAAATCGATCTCATTGTTATGAAATTGTACGTATGTCATTTATGTGAACCTTAATATTGTTATCATACGTGGTATGACTTTTATTCAGGTTAATTTCTTACTTTTTTATTTTCTTTTCATTGGTTAGTGCGTATTTAATGTTATTTTTGCCAAAGACAAATTCACGTTGAAAATATTTTAATTATGTAGAGTCTACAGAGATGAGCTACGTTTGTAGAAAATTAAATAGTGATATATTTGGTACTCTGAAGTGGTGCAATGGTTAGTTAAGTGTCTCTGTAAAATACACAAGTTAACTGTTAACAAAAGACAGATCTTGTTTTTCCTTCAGCCACAGCTTCAGTGATTGTTGTTCGCGCGTAAATATATATATCTACGAATATAATGTTGACCATCGTCTCGAATTCGCTAAAGATTATTTTGTGACAAAAATTATCTTTAAAGTTAGGAAAATAAATACTAAAATTTTCTAAGATTAAAATAACTATGTAAAATAAAGATTTCTACGATAAAAGATGTATTTATGTATAAATCTGAGCTGTCGTTAGCTACAAGTATTGGTTAGATTTAAATATTTCGTCTAATGTCATACAATAGCGACCACAATAAATCGTTTCGAACTATCATGAACATCGACAGATTAAATGAAATTCATTTCACCGTTACTGTGTAAATAAATATATTTATTTAATGATTATTTGCATTAGTTTCATTACAACCCACCTACAACGCCGACTTGGTTTCATAAAAATAAATGAAACAAATAAATACTGTATTTAAAATCACACTACCGCATTGAATATATACAAGGAATCGGATGAATCACTTGATGTTATTAGCGTTAAATATTTATTTGGTTACGTGTTTGGCTGCTAAATAAAGCTGATCTGTTGACTTCTTTAACACCGATCAAATGTACCGTTCTATTTGTTAAAAGCACTTAGGACATCTCAATTGAAGATTTTTAGTGTGTTCAGAGCGTTGTGCGTTTGGGGCATACGGCCACTGCGGCTTGGCCAGCTGTGCTAATTGGCCAGCGGTTCTCGACCGCGCCACTCGACGACTCACATCTTTTAAATCGCTTTAAAAATACATCACGATGTCAAACAAAAACCACTAGAGATACTTATGTAGGAATTATGTGGATAATCTATTCATATGCACGTTCTTTTTATAATATGAAGTGATGGGACGAACAAGTCGTGCCCCTGATGGTAAATTTCACGCCTGTCCATAACAGTTTCAGTGTCCTCAGAGCTTTAAATCGCAAATATCTGAGGGGCACTGTCACTGCGCCCGTCACACTGAGACTTAAGTTGACAAGTCCCATGTGAATGTAATTTCACCAGCACCCTTACCCTTCAATACCGGAACACAGTAATGTTGACATTAGTGCTTGGCGGCAGAAATAGGTAAGGTGACAGTACTTCCCTGGACGAACTCTTTCACAAGGAGATCTTCTACTACTAAACTGCACGTGTTTTATAGTTACTATTAATTTAATTTAAATATAGACAACTTGCCAATTCCATAGCCATGATATAAGAAAATTAGTAATGTTTTGGTTTCTTTATAATTGAAGTCTATCGGGACAACAATTGTTATATATAAATAAAAGGTTTTTATTTTAAATGAAAGTTACATTCATTTAATATAAATATAAAATTAATTACTATGCAAGTTATTATTTCAACATTATATTGGCACATGTCCTCCATACTATTTTTGCACAGTTGTGTATTAAAGTATTCATAAATGCATGCACGTTGACGATGGGATATTACATACAAGGTCCTTGTATGTACAAGGTCCAGGCATCATCGTTCATTATGCGATGTATCGGTAAAAATTTTACCTACCTAGGTAGGTACTCATATTCAACAAAGTAATCGAATGCATTAGGCAATACGTACAGCAAAAAATATTACTCGTAAAAGCTTTTAATGGCTCCACTGTAACTTTTGTTCTCGGAAATGTGTTAGCGAGTGTTCTACAGGATGGGAATGTCCATAAAATTCTCGACGGCGAGACGCATTAACGAGCGTCGTTTAGTTGTTTGCTGTTTAAATAAGTGCTATAATGTAATTTTAATGAGCTCACAAAAATGTGTGCGGGTTCCAAGTATCCGCCGACGACGACGACTTCGCCGCCAGCAGTAATGACTGATGCTACGCTTTCACGTCATATGTTAACCACTTCGCCCCAACATGTGTATGTCTGACCCCGTATTTATAAATATATTAGGTCCTTATGATTGCGATGATTTGTAAATGATAAGACGTAGCTGTGGTGACATTAAAATGATTTTGGGAGCAAAACTGACTCCCAGCCGAAATGCCGCCTTTTGTTATGGGGCTGCTAAAGTAAACAATGAAGTTTCAAAGTATTATTAGATGCGTTGTAACAAAGTGTTTGTATTAAAACCTGGTTAATTACTGTTCACGGGTGCCCCCAATGGAATTACGTTTCAGAAAGAATAGAATTTGGCTGAGTTATTGGTGCGGCACGCTCGCCCGTGAAAACTCACTTAAACTTTTTAATTAAATTTCTGATTTTTTTCCCGGTAACACGGTGAAGAATCTAATCCCAGAGTTTTATTCAAAACGTTGTATTAATTAGTCAGCATGGTGGGGACTAATGACCACGGTAATCGACTTTTCCGGTGTGCTGCACTCACCTGCCTTCACCACCAAAAGTGCGACGCGATACAAACTTTTTTAGGACGGTAAGTAATCTCAGGTAGCAATAACAATATTTTTACAAGGACACGGTGTTTTTGAATTAATTGAATAATATCTTTACTGTTCATATTAAGTAAACTAAAATGTGTGCGTGTGACCATACCGTGTGAAATGCTTTTATCACATAAAAGTCATAAAAACATGACGACTACCATGCAACTAATTATGCAAATATGAAATATTCTAAATGTGAAACTCTCCTATTTAAGCATAAAAAAGTTATTCACTAACTTGGCTCGCAGGTTATTTTTAAAATACCAATTGAAGGGACGAATAAATCGCGCACCTGGTAGTAAGCGAAACGCCTATCCATAATAGTTGCAGTGCCACTCAAAGCTTTAAATGGCAAAGACCTTAGGGGCACTTCCAGTGCGCTCGTCACCCTAAACATACGTTGACAAGTCCCATAATAAAAATAAAAATTAAATATAATAAAATAATAACGTAATAAAAATTACTGTTTGGCGGCAAAAATACTTAAGTAAGGTGGCAGTACTTCCCTGGACGAACTTTTTCACAAGGAGCTCTACTGCTACTAGAATCTTCCAATCTGTCTCTTGAAAATTTATCATTTTGTATATGTGGCTTTATTACACACACAAAGGGTGCGAAATTATTAGAACGGAAATTATTAAAGTAAAGTTGTATAGGCATAATATAATTTTTAATATTTTTATTAAACAATGAACAAGTGACATTCTTTGAAGCAATCGTATACAAAATAACTAACTTATTACATTTTTAAATAATAACAGTAATTGTAATAAACATTTTTAGAGATAATAACTAAGTATAGTCTGAAATGAATGCCAAAAAGCATTAAAGTCGTTTGCAGGCAAGCCTCTTGAGTGCGAAATGACGATGGGTGCGGAAATAGCTGTAAGTGTGGGCAAATCGTGGCTAATGTGTTTGATCATCACCGCTGCGCGGGCGCTTCTGTTTGCATTTAATTAACTAAGACACCACCAGTCATTAAGCCGGCCCTGTAGAGACACTGTCTTATCTGAAAGGACATTTTCTTCAACATTCGTCTACAAATACATAGTACGTTTTCATCAATTGTTTAACTACGGAAATTATTTTGGTAATAAACTAAGATATTAATGCTTTGAAGGAAAGTCAAATACACAGGTGTCCCCATGTTACGTGATATAAATGTAATGAATGAATGGAAATAAAATACCTACGACCCAAATTATTATAATTATTGAACAAGGGTAGAAGGATGATGAGGTATATACACTCATCAAAAGTGTTTGGTCGATTTGATTTTCAATTCGAATTATAAATTTGACCAAAAAGATCCATCGGTGTGTGTACAAAAAAATAAAAAATCTCTTGATTTTCAGTAATTGGCAATAACGTGCTTGATCCCTAGACACTTTTGGTGTGTGTACATATCCCTATAAGTTGACTTTTTACGCTACGTCAACCTGAAATTATAATCATAATAACAATAATTCAAAATCAAAGTTCAAAATTCATGCATTAGGTACTGTTATGAGGTACCTCCACGTGCACACATCACTCCATATCTCAATACATTCAATATTTTAAACATGACAAACCGTAGAATATTGAAATTAAATACATTCGTTCATAATTTGAGGAAATCATGCACTCCGGCCTATTTAGCTAAAAAGTTGTATCGGAACGACGGGGCTGATGGCAATGTACGATCGATACGGTATCCTACTTTACAGATATCACCAACTCCTATACTAACGGTTTGTCGCGGTAGTTTCAAATTTGCTGCATATAAGTGTTGGAATGATTTGCCTTCTCCAATAAGGAATTTGAAGTCTTCTTACACTTTCAAAAGGAAATGCAGGCTTTGGTTACTTTCAAAGCAAAGTTCTGCTAGTAATTGGATGTAGTGTCGTCCAGCGGATTTATGCATATTTTTATTTTTGTTCTTTATTTCTTTATTTATATGTATATATATATATATATATATATAATATTTTTTCACTATTTATTGTTATTATGTGTGCAGTTCATCCTTATCTATACTTTATTTATACTTCATGTATTTTGAAATGAAATATTTTATGTGGATTTGGTACCATTAGACAATGTAATCATAGCTTTAAGTTTAAATTGTATACTTTAGTCATTTTACTGGAGCTTGTCGAGACACGTCAGAATTATTATATTATTAATATTACAGAATTAAATGTAGCGTTTCACCAAAAAGGTAAAATCTGAAAAACAGCTCAAGCTGAGACTCTTGCCTTTTTATCTACATGTGTAACTTCAGATTATGTTATTTAAGGCTAAATTTTTATTGAATTGATATTCAATCCGACTTCGGTTCGAATCCGACCGGATCGAAGAAATTTTTCTGAGTGTTTTTTCTGAGTGTTCGATCTTTGTATTAATAATTATAACAAACTAGTGGAGTAATTTCACAAAAAATAATTGAATATCAATTCAATAAAAAAATTAATTAATACAATGAATAGCGACATTTCTCGCCAGGACTGGTAGCTGTAAAGGTACTAACTGGGTGATAAATCTGCAATAGATTTCTCATAGATGGCGCTACGACTAAAAAGTCGTTGAAAGACCAAGTACAAAGACACGACGCAAGCACATACAAGAATTCGTGAGGTCCGTTGGTTCGTTCCGTGGCTTAGTTGGTATAGCGTCTAGCACGGTATGCAAGAAGACGTCGCTTCGAATCCGACCAGATCGAAGGAATTTTTTCTGAGTGTTCGATCTTTGTATTAATAATTATAACAAACTAATGGAGTAATTTCACAAAAAATAATTGAATATCAATTCAATAAAAATTTAATTAATACAATGAATAGCGACATCTCTCGCCAGGACTGGTAGCTGTAAAGGTACTAACTGGGTCATAAATCTGAAATAGATTTGTCATAGATGGCGC